CTAATCTCTGAGGGAATCTTGTTCCACAGAACAGATCCTCTGTAGTGTAGGCTCCTTTTTGCAGACTCAGTTTTGGGTCTGGGGACATAATAATTTAACTCAGAATTTCTAAGATTGTGTGAATGTACATTTGAGGTGTTGGTAAAGATCCGCCTCAGATACGATGGGGAAAGATTATTATGGATTTTATACATTGTCACAGCCAACTGTTTAAGTCTTGCATATTCTAGCCTTTCCCAGCCAAGCTCATCCAACAAAACACTTGAGCGAACGTCATAGTTAGAAAAGGTGAGAATTCTAGCAGCCCTATTCTGCAGCTTTTGAAGTTTGTCTGCTAGTCCCTTATTGATATTACCCCAAACGGCACCACAGTAATTAAAATATGGCATTACCAGTGCATTGTAAAAAATAAATTATTCGAAGTGTGTAAATATTGCCACATATCCCATTATTGTTATTATAACATATTACTACCGTAGTTACTTTCCAAGCTTCTCAGTGGCCTTGCCTTGCCACAAGATTAAGTTTAAGCTCAATCGACCCAGTAGCATGCTTACTAGTATTTTTCAAGAGTAGATCTTTTTCAGGATTAATGGATAGGCCTATTAGCGTTGCAGCGCCGAGATTGTGAAAAGAGCTTCCCATTCGCACAAGTTACTGTACTTGCAAAAGTACGTAATACTTTTCGGCCCTATCCACACGAATCCGGGCAGGCTAAAACCGGTTTCAATCGTCTACAAAAACCAAAACGAAATAATCTGGAGAGTGGTTTCAAAAAGGTTTTTCTAAGAAAAATCAAGTCAGTTGTGGGATCTTTCACGCGTACTCCTCTCGAGAGCTTTGCATAACTTGAATGTATCCTTGTCTTCCTTGTATGCTATCCAGTACCCGTATAGGTTCGTATGTAGTTATATAACTGAGCTTAAGCAACGAATACGTTGACGTTTTGCACGTCAAAAATAACAGCTGGAAGTTAATAAGTTCTCGCTTTAAGCGGTCCGACTCAATAACTTCACCCTACAAGAGTAAAAATACAAAAAACAACAACAAACAAACTTCCGGTTATTATTCATGGCGGCCAGTATGGCAGCGTTCTCGTTGCTTAGGCTCGCTACCCGTTTACATCCTTTGCTAAATGAGAATATGTAACTCGTAGTACTCACGTAGTGTGTAAATATAAGTCATGTTCCTTAACAACAAAGAAATACAAACTTGAACTTTTTAATTACAAATAAAACAGGTTGAAATAGTGTCCTGGGAATATGTCAGGTGGAAGCCTTTCAATTTTGTTGTCTGGCAGGGACCTGCACATGAAATGGTTTTAATATGTATTTCAGACAAGAGTAATTCAGCTAAGCCCTCCTATGTGTGTAGTTTTGGTGGCCGTAGCATCTAGCGGTTCTGAACTGATTATAGAGGAGTACCCCGGAGGGCCTCCCGGTCGCAGGAAGCAAAACAAAGCCCGGTCTGAACAGGGTTAAAGTCATTTTTCACGAGGAAATAAAAGTGGCAAAGCGTTATCCAAGAAAAAAATATATAGAAGAAGGTAGAAAGAGTGAAGGCGCCCTTGTAATCTTGCCATTTTCAAGTTCAGAGAAAAGGTTGTGACGCCTCTTATCAACAAACTTCGTCAAAATTTTACTCGACTTCATAATAATAATTAACAACAAAAAATCTTTAACCCTATTCAGACCGATCATTTTTTTCGGCTTCCTGCGACTTGAAAAGCCACTCATGCTGTAACTTAAAAACCGCTCATTCTATGGCAGCTCGTGTTACACAGAATGATGTACTCATCATTTCCGAGTCTTGGCCTAACTTTAATACGTAGTCCAAAGATTGGATTGTAAATGGCCAAAAAATGCCCTAAAATATTTGTGAGACCGCGGGATGCCTTTGTGCCCGGTTGAAGAACACCAATCCTGGGTTAAGTGCAACGTTGAACACTGGCGGCCAAGGGGTCATAACATCAACTCAGACACTATCCCTGTATTAATTGCTGAAGATCACGGCATCAAACATCGCATCATGGAGGACATCTCTATTGAACAAATAAAATCCTTTTTGAATAGGGAAAAGGGACTGGAACTCCTGGCCATTTACAATTCTCTCCTGACTACGTAACAACAAAGTTAGTAGCCGTTCCCCATTTAGCCTGCGTAGCATGGCGGTTTTGGTTGGGCGCGCTAAGTAATAAAGGCGGGCGAGGGCAGAGAAACCGCGAGGAGATTGGGGCGGGAGCAACTTGAAAAACCGCCTGCACGGACGGGGGCCTTTTTTGAGTCGGTCCGTACGCCAGCGTACGGATCGTTCCGATTGGTTCGGAATGTTCGCCTGTCAATCAAATATTTTGGTAATCTCCCATGGGAGAGTTTCGACATCTCCCCAAAACAAAATCAAAATATCAAAGAAGCGTTGACCGGAGCGTCGTCGATCTTGAATATTTGACGGGAAAACAGGGCAATTGTATTGAAGCCTAAACAGGAAATGGCCATTTACAGTCTTCTTCAAAGGAGAGATGTTATGGAAATTTTGTCAACAAGATTTGGCAAGAGCATGATCTTTACTGTCTTTGCTATGGCCAAAGAAGAAATATCCTCATCGAAAACCTGTATGATCACAATTTCCCCTCTAAAAAGTAGTATCGACGACCAGATATCTGAAATGTTGTCGCTGAGCTGTACAGCAATGGACCTTATGACAGAAACAGTAAATTTCAGTGCTTCGAGAAAGTTCACCTCAATTATCTCTATTACTTGGTGTTAGAGAATAACGCACTCCAG